AATGCCCTGTCTTTCTTTGGAAAAGAAATAGGAAGAGGAAAAAGGAAAAGGAAATTAATTTGCTGGACACATACTAATCAACTTTCAGACCTTTTCTGTTATTAATTAAAACTACAAGGAGCAAGTACAATTACTACCATATTAGAAGGAAATAAAACTAGGTTGAGAGAAGGTGAATTCACAGTAGTGTTTATATTAAGCAAGGGGCAGAGACTAATAAATCAATTCCATTTAACTAAAAAATGTACTTCATTCCTACTCACTCTGTGTGAAAAAAAAATGCCTGTATCTCAGGCACTTGATTAGTGTTATATCTTAGATAGTAATTCAGTTATTTAGCTAAGGCAAATATACCTGAGTAGCTTATATTATTCCAGAATGGAAATACTGAGCAGTCTAAAAATATAAAAAGTGTCCTGTGAAATTTTATGTAACAAAACTAATCCAAACTGGTATATTAATAGTATCACCAAGACCACTAAGCATTGAAAAGTCTGGGTAAATGTACAGCATCACAATACAAAAGAGATTAGTTTTTAAAGGCTAGCCCTGCTCTGCATAGCACTGGTCTGTGCACTGCTGTACAGAGGTAACTCGTGGTTGCTGGAATGCTAAACACTGACACTGATGTGCCAAATGCAATAATGGTTACCCACAGTGGATAGTGTTTAGTGGAGTTGACCGATTAAAACAAGCTTGGAAGCAGGAGTGGCATCCACTTCTGAAACAGTGCTCAGGTCTTTTGTTCACATGGTCGCTATGAGTCTACGGCACCTAACAACACTAATAACAACAGTATTGCTTTACAAAAGATACTAATCAGTATTGCTACATGGTTAATAGAGAAAATGCCTAACGTTAACTCATGTAAAGAACTTGGGTAAAATGACAATGAAATAGCCGTGTGTAATGTAGCATAAGCCTCATAACCTCTAATTTATCTAACCTTAAAGACCCTCATTTTATCATTTAGATTTTTTAAAATGTTTGTGTCTGCTAAAAAGTCTAGCATCAAAGATTACATTTATGCTGGGAGAAAGTAAAGTTTAAAGGTTTCTTGGGGAGAAAATGAAAAAAAAATTTAAATTTAAATTATAAGATTTAAACTAGTTTCTAAATTTCCTTCTACTTAAAACTAAATGGAAGAGCCCATAAAATGAATTGAGTAATTTGGTCAACTGTACTTAATCTCTTGATATTTACTTATTATTTGATACTAACTTTGAGAGACTATTTGTCTATGAAACCAACTATGAACAACAGTCGTTCATTCAGGCAGTAGACGTAGCTCTATTTTATTTCTTTTAGTCACACATTTGTAATGTTAAAAGTTGGTCTGCCTTTGATTTCCTGGTGGCTGAGAGCACCTCAAATCCTGTTCTCTCCATCATTAGTGACAATCATGTCAGTGACAGAGGCAGAAAAACCCAGTCACTCTAGTTTGTACATCCGGTAATAAGGCTCACTCATTTCAGGGCTATTCTCAAAAAATCGTAACACACACATACACACACATAGACAAATACATAAACTACTCTTCTTAACAAAAGGTCAATATTGTTATAAGGTGCCATTAAACTAACAACTCAGAGAGACTCTCTGAACAGCAGGTCTGAGTCCTTTGCCATCCTTTGCATTTTCTGATACGCTCATGTCCAATGCTACAGTCACCGCGTCAATATATCTTGATGAGAGTCTTCCTCTCTTTTGCTGACCCTCATTTTTACCAGCATGGTGTATTTTTTTTAAGGACTGGTTCTCTCTGACAACACTCTCAAAGTATGTGAAATGAAGTTTCAACATCTCGGCCTCTAAGGAGCGCAGTGGTTGCATTTTCTCCAAAACAGACTTTGCTTGGCTTTTTGACAATTTATGGGCTTGCCCTGGTGTGTCCACTTGCTGTACAGAGGTAACTTGTGGCCACTGTGAAGCTGAATACTGTGACACTGACGTGTCAAATGTGTTAATTGTTACCCATGGTGGACAGTGTTTTGGTGGCGCTTCCTGACTAAAACAAGTTTGGAAGAAGGCATGGCATCCACTTCCGTAAATGGCTTGTCTCCGGAAACCCTGTGAACCTGGGGAAACGATGACAGTCATGCAAGTGTTGAGGCCTTTCAATCATAGGGTCGCTATGAGTTGCCTATGACGTGACGGCACTTAACAACATGGCATATTCAGTACTTTTCTCCAGTATCACAATTCAAAGGCATCAATTTTTCTTTGTTATCCTAATTCACTGTCCAACTTTCAGATAAATGCTTCAGAAGCAGCTGAAAAGACCACTGTTTGGGTCAGGGGCATCTTCGTTTTTAAATGGTCACTTTTTTGCTCTGAAATACTTTGAAGAGAACCTTGACAGTAGATTTTTCCTAATGGCAGCATGTCCTCTGATTTCTTGACTGCTGAGACCACAGGTGCTGCATGTGAATCCAATTAAAATGAAGTTGTTGACAACTTTAATCTTCTCTTTATCTACAATCATGATATTGCCTACTGGTCCAGTGTTGAGGATTTTTGTTTTCTTAAAACTGAGATATATAATCGATATTGAAAGCTGTAGATTTTAATCTTCTGCAGCAAGAGTATCAAGTCCTATTCACTTTCAACAAGCAAGGTTGTGCCATCTGCTTAATGTAAGTTGTTGATGAGTCTTTCTCCACCGTTGCTGTCACTCCCTTCACTGAGCCCAGATTCTCAAATGATGTGCTCAAAATACAGATTTAGAAGGTACAGAGAAAGGATACAACTCTGACGCACACCTCTCCTGATTTTAAAGCAAGTAGTGTTCCCTATTTCTGTCTGGACTACAGCTTCTTGGTCTAAGTATATATTTCATATGAGCAAAATTATACGTTCTAGGGTTTGCATTCTTTTCAATGTCAACCATAATTTAAGAGCCAGACAGCCAACTCCTTTGTACAGTTCAATAAAACACAGATATCTCTGGTATTCTGTGTTTTCAGACAAGATCTAGCTGACATTAGCAATGATATCTACATCTAACTATATCTGTATCTATTCCTTGTGCCACGGCATGTTCTGAATCCAGTCAGTATTTCTGGCAGTTTCCAGCTGAAATTCTAGCTGCCTTTATTTTTATCTTCTTCTTCTCCACTTAAATTTTTTAATATTGGTTTGCATAAAAAGTTCATGTACACTGTGTATCATTCATGCATACCGAGTTTCACACTTTGCTATTTCAAATCGTGTTTCAAACGATCAGTCATGTACATTGTGTTTTATAAAATTAATCTATTAATACTATTAATCTATCTTTTCAGTTCCCCATTAGGATCTTTCCTAATTCCCTCACCACCCCTTCTGCTCCCCAAACTCGTGATTTCCTACCCTCCCTACAGATCTCTCCCCTCCCCTTTCCCTTCTGGACTTTTATCCACGTCTTACTAGTTATCCTTCTATTTTTACAATACTGGTATTATGTAGTATTTGTCCTTATGCGACTGAGGTTAGTTCACTCAGCATAATGCTCTATAGACTCTCTCACGTTACATAGGATTTTACAAAATTGTAGGTCCTTAGTGCTGCATAGTATTTCATTCTGTGAAATCACCACTATTTCTTAATCCGTTCATTTGATGATGGACATTTGGGCTTTTCCATCTTCTAGCCACTGTGAATAATGCTACCACGAACACAGGTATACTATCCCCATTTGTGTTCTAAATGTTTCTGAATATTCTTTCCTGAAAATTTCGCTAGCATGTACAGAGGTCAAAACAAAGACAAGAAATGCTAAAGTAAGAGAAATGAACAGAAAATTTCAAACCACAGCCCAAGAAGACAAAGCAAAGAATTACAACAAAATGCGCAAAGAGCTAGAGTCAGAAAATTCAAAACATGCTCAGCATTTCTTGAGCTGAAAGAACTGGCCGATGAGTGGAATTAAAAAAATCAGAAACAAAGACTGGGATTTGAAACTACGGAATTGGTGAAAGACATGAGGTTGGAAATCAAATGACTGGATTTTAAACAATCAAGGATTTCTTCATCACAAATAATTTTTTAAAAGTAAAAAAAACAACAAACCCACACCTCCCATAAAGAGAGACTATGCAGCTGGCCCTGATCTGATGGTCTGGTTCAAAAGGTTCAAAAAGGAATCAGACTGACTACATCTATAGAAAAGGTTAATGGAACAGCTAAAAATCAGCAGTCAAAACAAGGCCAAGTGCTGACTGTGGAATAGATCATCAATTATAGATGAGCAAGTTCAAGTTAAAGCTGAAAAAACGAAAACAAATCACAAGAACCAAAATACAACCATGAGTCTCTTCCATCTGAATTTAAAAGCCATCTTCAGAACAGATCTGATGCATTGAACACTGAGGATTGACGATTATACAAGGTGTAGGATGACATCAAGAACAGCACACATGAAGGGAGCTCTGGTGGACTAGTGGCAAGAAACTGCACTGCAATCCTGAAGGTATACAGTTTGAATCTACCAGATACTCCATGGGAGGAAGGGCAATTTCCTCCTGAGCCATTGGATCAGATTCAACAGTACACAACAAGAAAAAAAGAAAAAAAAAGTATAGCACACGTTAGTTAGTAGAAAGAGAGAGGAGAAAGAAAAGACCAAACTGGGAGTGAGAAGAGACTTGGAAGATGAAAAATGCCAATAGTAACCATACACCCATAAATTTTTTGTTGTACTTAATGAATGTGTAATATTAAAATTTCAGGAAGAAAATTGTTTCACGAAGGTGCAAATGAATTAACAAAAAAGAGGAAGATCCTGAATGAGAAGCACTGACACTGGCTGTACTAAAGGCTACACAGCAGGGATTGTGAAGATGGTCCGGGTTAGGCAGTGTTTTCTGTTGTATAAAGGGTGGCTAGGAGTCAGAACTAACATGATGGTCCCTAACAATCACCGCTATGTTTCATAATCATCAAAAGGGATACATATACTAAAAGTATATTTCTTATTTATGAAAAGAAAGCTTAAAACATGTTACATTTTCCTTTCTTACCTGCGCTGTGAGGCACCTCTGCTGGTGTATTAGCTGGTGCATGTGCCCCGGGAGGAATCTGAATCCCCGTATAACTACCGGGGGGTATGCTGCTTGGGTCATAACCGGAGGATGATGGCTGAGGTGGTGGGGAGGGCAGGGAGGTTGCTCCAGCATCTTCATTTTCTTCAACATCTATTACTCAGTAAAGATACAATGTTAAATCAAACTTCTTATACTGAACATATTAGGTACTCAATAATTCTGCTACATAAATACACAAAAATCAAGACCCTTCAAATGCAGTACTATAGTAGACCCTATTTCCTTTTTAAAGAAAATGTTAAAAACAATGTAATTTTTCCTAATAATAATAAAACAAATTGTATTAGATTAATACTTTCCCAACCTGGTATTCTTTATACAGAATATGTTCTTCCTTACAACTCACTATTAAAGCACGTGAAAAGGAATTTCCTCGGCAAAGCATTTCATATTTGTTGTTCACATATTAAGTTCATAAACAAAAACCAAAAATGAAATTTTATATTTAACGATCTTTTAAAAGTAAATGAGGACCATTTTGTTAAATTTTAAACTTATACTTTCAAAATATACCTTAGTATTAGCTATATTTAAAAAGTATTTTGAACAAATGAAACCTTGACAGTCTATTAAAATAACAATTAGCAATTTTCAGAATTTCCCCTCACTGAGGTCAAGTCAAAACCAACTCACAGTTGGCCCTCCAGTGGGTTTTTCAGAGGCTGTAAATCACGGGAGGAAATTGTTCATCTTTCTCCTTTGGAGTTAATTTAAAATAGAATTAAAAAAAAATCAAGTTAAAGCTATAAATTACTGAAAAAGAATAATTTCTGCTTTTTTCCTATCAAATTCTTAAGTAATTTTTTTCTCTGATTATGAACTTATTACACATTCAGTTAGGTAATTTTAAATCAACATAAGGAATGAAGACCAAATTGATAATACAGGCATTTTACTAAGTTGTTTTCCAGATGTACTTAAATATACTAAGACAATTCTCCCCTTTATCAGTGAGTTCTAACATTTACATATTCTGAGGAAGGGAAAAATCACTGCAAAATGGCAAAAATCAGATAGAAACAAGAGTGAAGATGGTCCCTGTGAAAATGAGATTTCATAAAGTAAGATTTCTTTTTCATTCAACTCTTAGCCAGCAATCCATGGGAGAAAAGATGAAAACAGTTTGCTTCTGTCTGGATTTCAACCACGGAAGATCTCTAGTCAATTGTACCCTGTTCTACAGGGTCACCATGAGTCTGAACCGACTCACCAGCAGTGGGACTGGTTTTGGTAAAGCTTGTTTTCATGCAGTTTTTAACCTGACAGCACTCAGCAGGAATGACTGCAGTATGGGGTTGCTCAAATTCAAGCAGAATGTCACAATCTTACTCATTTCACAGTCGAGGAAGAAATGTGCAGGAATGCAGGAAGAAGGGTAAGTTTGGAAAAGAAAAAAGAATGTGTCTTGAGATGTGTCTACGTATGTATGCTCCTGAATGTGAATGGGAACTACCGTATTTCATACCATTTCACAATAAATACTTTGCAGGGGCCTGCAGGAAGCAAGAGAGCTAATAAAGAGAGAGGGAATGACTGAGTTTACATAAGTTCACTTGCTACAAGAACAAGGATGAAAGAACAAGAAGAACAGATACAGTACACTATCAACAGGAAAATTACTAAAATATGCAGAAAAAAATAGAGAAAAGGTAGTAACAATAGTCAAAAGAAAAAGACCTCAAGATAATCCAAGTACTAAAATTAACAGAACAGAACATTAAAGTAGCAACCCAAAAAACGAAACCACAACTATTAGGTAATAACAAATGGAAGAGGCAAAATTTACCACACATCCAAACTGTAAAATGGGCAAAACAGAATAAAATAGTATGACAGAAATAAAGTGAAAAGTAAGGGGCAAAACAGAATAAAGTAACATGACAAAAAGTAAGTGAAAAGGATTTTTCCTTGTTTATATGAAAGGAAGCAAAAATGTAAAGAAAAACAGTGTGCAAGCTGTGTAGAAAATGGAAGAGAAACCGTTTTTAACTATGTTAAGTTCATAAAAAACAATTTCTGAATGAATACAGAAAAAAATAAAAACTGCTTATTTTGGTATTGGGAGGGTATAAATAGTAATTTTAATATTTTTGTAACCTCTTTAATTACTAAACCATAAAACCATTATCTAAAACCAACCAAAACCCCACTTCAAAGAGATACATACCCACTTGTCTTTTACTGACAAGGTGAAGTTAAAAAGTCTAGGTTATTGTGTGGAAAATCAGCATTATGTAAAAATGTAGAAGTACGACATAACATGGAAAACTTACTATATCATAACTTCCAAATCAAGAATCTGGGGCCAGCCAAGATGATACAGCATCTGAACCATAAATTACTGTTACTCTCGCCAGCTACTCTGGTATTCATCACTGCCAGACATACAACATTAATGAGCAAAGTAATGGACTTTTCACTACTGTAGTAAATGCAAAATGTCAGATAATAATACAGGCAAGCGAGGAGCAGGTATAAGTGATCCCCGTGGTTTAAAGATATTTACAAATTAATGGATTGCCTTTCTCATGAAGGAATGAAACTGATTGTATCTTTGAGTGTACTCCAATTTATGCTGTTGTCAGGTAATGTCAGGACGAGTAGGACTCATATCAGATCTGAACCCTGTCCTACGACAACCTCACAATCTCTGACACACTCATGACCATGTGACACTTATCAAGCCATCTGCCGAGAGAGAAAGCCTTCTTTAGAGATCGTACTTGGGATCTGGACTTGGTGCTTCCTCAATTGTGAGACTTATCCATCAGTTTGTTTGTACTGGGGGAATGATCTGCACACTGCTAATTATTTTTTAGTTTGGGTATCTGCATTCTTGTTCATTTATCATTGTTCTAAAGCATTTGTCTGTCAGTTTGATGTTCTGAGGTAACTTGCAGGTGCTGTGATGCTAAAGCTGAGCCACCGTTTTCAAATGTTAGTCACTCATGATGAACAAGTTTTATAGCTTTCGATTTAAGACAAATTAGGCAGAAGGACTGGCCATCTCCTGCTGAAATAGCAGGCCTCGGAAAACCCTATGAACAACTTACAGTGACTCGATATGCAACATACGGAAGGCTTACCCTAGCTATTTGTTGGTATAGACAGAATAGTCTGTTTTAATCTATATCCTTAAAACTGCAATTTATACCAATTTTCATAGATGCTGGACTTGGCAGGAGAAAAAAAAATTAGACTGTCCCTGCACAAAACTTTGAATATGTTAACTTATTTAAAACAAATAAATGCATACCATTATCTTCATCAATTCCAACAGGTCCGGCTTGTGGAGTCTCACCATTCTTTAAACAATTATGGATATATGTTGCTTTCCATCGTGCATACTTTCTGTGTTTCACATTCTGAAACAGAAACGTTTCTATCATTACCTGCGCCATATTTCTGAGCTAAAATCCTGTTTTATATGCTGGATTTTTTTTTAATAAGCTTGGGACTTTCTCCATCCCATACATGGATTTCCTCATAGGCCTGGGCAACTTCATGAAAACTGCCTTCCTGAAAACATATGCCCAATTATCTTTTTATGGTTTCATTTCATCTTTTAGAAAAGGTCTAGAATAAATATGGAGAGTCTTTCCAGAAAAATGTACAACTCTTACGCACAGGAGAAAACTAGGCTAAATGGAATTATAAAATTAAAAGAGAATAATGGATCAAATTGATTTCACTATGGAGTAAAAATGAATCAGTTTAGATTTAGGAAAATGAAAGGAAAACAATTTAGTGATTAAAGCAAACACAAACGAGCCTGGCAGTCATGCATACTGTAACCTTTTGTTATAGAGTGCTAGTTAACAACTCTAAGACTCACTTATAACAACAAAAACAAGAAGACGATAATATTATTAAATAAGACAAAATTTTATCTTAAAAGACATAAGAGTAAAATCTTGGAATTCTGGAAGGGTTAAGATTTTTAATTTATATTCAATTTACCTTTACAATTTGCACGCACCAGTAGCAACAGCACAAGATGGAAGCCTCTAGGAATAAATCCAGAAATGTTCCAGCACACTCTAGACCTACCAGAGTCATCTGCACTATTGAAAGATCACCAAGCAATCTAAAAGCTTGAGTGTTTATAATTTTACCATGTGGAAAACACTCGTGTTGAATATACAGTTGTTGTTAGGTGCCATCGAGTATGACTCAAAGTAAACAAAATAAACAGCCAACCTGAACTTATTCTGTCATCCCAATCATGTGACACATTGGAGCCCACTGCTGAAGTCATCATGTCAATCCGTCTCACTGAGGGTCTTCCTCTATTTCACTGACCCTCCATATTTCCAAGCAGGATGCCCCTTTCCAAAGAACAGCTTCATCTAGCTACATGTCCAACATATGAATAGAAGAAGCTTTATCATCTTTGCCTCCATGGTGGACTTTGGCCACATATTTTCCAAGACACATCTGTTTGCTCTTTTGGCAGTCATGGGATATTCAGTAAGTACACTTCTCCAGCACCACAACTCAAAGGCATCAATTCTTCTATCATCCTTATTCATTGTCTAGCTCTTTGATGCGTAGTAGGTGACTGAGAAGACCATGATCTGAATTATGTGCACCTTAGGCTTCAAACGGCCACCATTGTTAGTTATTCAGCATTTTTGAGAGGTCCCTGACAGCAGACTTAACCAATACAATATGTCATCTGATTTTCCAAATGCTGGTAGCAAGGGTATTGATTGTCGATGCAGGCAAGATGAAATTACTGACAGCTTCAATCTTTTCTCCATCTATCATAATGTTTACTATAGGTCTGTGGTAAGGATCTCTTATCTTCTTGATGTTGAGATGTAATCCATACTAAAGAGTAGTCCTTAATTTTCTGCAGCAAATGTTTCATATCCTCTGCACTTTCAGCAAGCTAAGTGGTGTCATCTGCATAAAGCAGTCTGTTGATAAGTCTTCCTCCAATCCTGATGCCACATTCTTCATAGAGCCCAGTTTCATGAATTATTTGCTCAGCATAAATATTGACTACAAATACTGAATAGGTATAGGTGTACAACTCTGATGTACACCTTTCTTGATTTTTAAACCATTCAATATTCCTTTTTTTTCTGTTTTGCTTCCTGGTTCATGCACAGTTTCTGTATGAGCACAATTCAGGGCTCTGGAATTTCTATCCCTCTCCATATTATTGAGAAATTCTTATGATCCACAGAGTTGAATGTCTCTGCATAATCTATAAAACATAAACATCTTTCTAGGTTTCTCTGCTTTCAACCAATATCTCTCTGCTACCAACAGTGATATCCCTCATTCCACAGACTTTTCTGAATCTAGCTTGAAGTTCTGGAAGTTCTCTGTTAAAATTTATTGAGCTCTTTTCGCATAATCTTTAGCATGATTTTATTTATGTGTAAAGTCAGTATTATTTTAAATTTCTATTCTGTTAGATAACATTTTTTTTTAATTGACACAAATATGGATCTATTCTGGTCAGTTTAACAGGGAGCTTTCAAATTTCTATGTAAGTTTAAATTGTTTTCTTTACTGAAAATATTTGGGACCAATTTTTCTAAGTCCTATTTCTGCAATAAGACTCTAGAAAATTATTTCTGGTCTTAATGTCATAGTATGGGAAATATAATAAAGTGAAATTTAAAAACATTAAACGGAGATGAAATATTTTAGTGATTATGTTTTTCAAATTTCTCCAGAGTAGATAAAACATCTCTGATTTTCAGTCCAAAATGGACTAATAAGCAATGTAACTATATATGGGGGAAAGATCAAAGTTGTCAAAAGGTTGAATTTTACTTGAAAACCCAATCAATCATTAGAATGGCAGAGTATGCTGTGTAGGAGGAGGGGGTGAAAGATATGGAAAAGATTCAATGGGGATCTGCAAAGACAGGGTAATAGTGGGCATGGATCAACGGTGATTAATTTTTAAAAACCATGTATAGGAATGATCTTATGAAACAAACGTCAATGAAGCAAAGTATGAAACACAATACATGAATGGAATACAATATATACATGCTGTATGAAACCAATGTAAAATTTAGAGAGAATGAAAATGAAACCTAATGAAGTTCTGCATTGAGTAAATCTTTTGCAAAAGACTTCTTTCAAGATGATTTGCTGGTTATTTCTATGTTGCTAAATCATGATGTTCAGACATTTTACTTTAGCCTGTCAGTATGATCACTCCTCTACCCTTGAAGTCACCCCCACCTCTTTTTAAGTAGTTTCCTGAGTCCCAGAGTATCCACTTTTCCCTTTTACTTCACTGAGTGAACCTTTCCCATACTTTTTATTGGTTCTTTCTCATCTTCTAGTCCTTGGACTTCTTTATTGTCTGATATCATCTAGTCACATGATTTTAAATCCCATCCCATTATGTCAAGTACCAAGTTTTTAATCTGTTCATTTCTCTACTCTCAGTACCCAAATTGTACATCCATAGCTACATTTTTTCATGTTTAATAACCATTTTAAAGTTTAACCTGTTCAAAACCAACTCTTGATCTGCCTCCTACCAAATTGGTTACTCAAATTTTCCACATTTCAGTAAATGACAAATTGTACTCACAGTTTATCAAGCCAAAATCTTGATCTTCTGAATCAATCCACCAGCTGCTCAACAGGAGAAAAATGGGCAATGTCCTGTATGACTTACTGCCTCTGAAAACTTTCTGGAAGGTCAGCTATGGATCAGTTCTGACTCAACGGCACACAACAACACTTCACTCATATTGTATCAATTAACCTTTTAAATTCTTTTAACTCTGTATTTAAAATATAACCAGAATCCAATCACTTCCTCACCACATCCTCAACTGTAAATACTTGTCTGAGAAAATGCTAGTCTAAAATGGTAGGGATTTTAATCATTGCTGTATCATTAAAGCCTAGAGCAGTGTGTGGCACGCCGTTATTGAGTGCTGTCAAGTCAGAGCTGACTCACAGCTAATCCTCCGGTGGGTTTTCAGAGGCTATAAATCATATGGGAAGAGACTGACCATCTTTTTGCTATGAAGCAGCTGGTGGATTCCAACCAAATGGCTCTGGGTTGACAACACACCTCCTTACACCCTAAGCCACCATATCTCCCTGTGGCACACGGTGGTACACTGAACACGTATTTGGTGAATGAATGGATAGCAGATTTTGAATCCATGTTTTCTATCAAATACTCCAAATAATTCAGAAATCAGCTACCCTAAATACACAGGATGGAAAGCACTGAGCTCAAGTAAAACATTTTTTGGTTAATGAAGAAAGTACTAAATTTGAGAATCTAGTCTGACTTCAGTTTGTAGTGAATCCTCAGTGATAGGGAGTTGTGCATAAAACACAGACAGTTGCTCTGCTGATCCAAAGTTCATGGTCCAATGGAGTTCGGAATCCACTAGCAACTCTTCTGGAGAAAGCTGAGCAAGCCCGTACTGTGCAATTTATAGTCTTAGAAACTCAGTACAGGGTCAGAGTTTCAACTTATTTGCAATGAGCAAGTGTGGCTCAAATAACTTGCCAACTGCTCACACAGGGAGATGGGAGAGAACTGAGAGCTTCTACAAACCTTTCAGAATAGTTTAGCAATACTAAAGATTATATTTGATGCTAAAACACTACTTTTCAGAAACAGCAGCCTACAGTCTCTAAGTGAGAACACCTTTTCTGTTGCATATTGGTAGTTAGTGCCTTTTTTGTGTCTCAGTTAACCACGACAAGTTGTTTTCAGTTCCACAGTGCTAGTCCCCTGGGTTGGTGCCAGTTTTGGGCTATTTTGAATAAAATTGCCATGAGCACTCTTGAACAAGTTCCCCCTTGCCTCTACCCCATACATGATTTTTGTCTTTTGGAGAAACATCCAAGAAATTGCTGGGTGAAAGGCCCGATGTTTAACTTTGTACATATCTGCCAAATTTTTTCCCCAACTGGTTCTAAGAGCCAACAGCCACAAAGCAATAAACCGGAGTTCTTGTTCCCTACTTTAACCAGTATTTTCTATGGTCACTTTTAATTTTAGCTTATTTTATTGAGGCTTTAAAAAATTACTTCAATAATTTTATCAGTTATTGAAATTGGTATTAAAATTTCAAAAGTAGGATAATGAATTTTTATATACAGTTTGAAACTGCATTATTAGGTATAAAAACCACCTACAGCTACAATGTCCTCTTTGTGAGCTGATGGCGACACATCATCTTAAAGTCCATTTTATCTGATTTTAACATGATCACGTGGGATTTTGTTTACTTAATTATTTACCTGAGTATCTTTTTCTATTCTCTCATATTCAAAATAGTTATGTCTTTGTAGTTAAGACCTGTCTTAACCCGTTAACAATATAGTTCTCTTGCTTTTTAAATTAATCTAAAAA